CGTTCGCATGTAACTGAAGCAGCACGCAGCTGGTTTCTTCTCGAGCAGTTTGCAGATTGGGACACTTTCGTCCAGAGGTTCCGTACGACGTTTGTGCGCACGCCCAGAAAGGCAGACCTGTGGCGAGATCTCGAGGCACGCATCCAAATGTCTAATGAGCCGWCGATAGACTATTTCTACGCTAAGGTTGGTTTGTGTCGTTCGCTCGCTTTGACATTCGCCGAGACGCGARATTACGTTCTTGAAGGACTGAGGTCCCAACAACAGTCGGATTGGGTTTCGGGCCGTAGGCAGTCAGACTGCGATGAATTGTTGGCCGACATACGCGACTGGGAACGCTTGCGCTCGAAGAGGGAGCAATTGTTTCCATCAACGATACCTAATCAAAACAAACCTTCGGTGTATGCAACCAGACAGTCAAACGCAACTACGTTGTCTCAAAGGGCCGACGTCGCGTCGATATCTAAACATTTCGTCAAGCCAAAGAGTGAATCGATCAGTAATCCTACGTTGGACAGACCACTCAAGAGGATCGATACACCGACCTGGTCTCGCCCCTTGGAGATCAATTGTTATAACTGCCGTGGGCGAGGTCACATTTCTCGGGACTGCCCGCTACCTCAGAAACCGATGAAATGTACCGGATGTGGGTCGAATCAACATCGTCSGAATAATTGCCCTACGTCGACGATTACGCGGGCCGAGAACACTAAACCCGAGCAGGCGTTGCGAGTCGACACGCTGTCGAGTGCCCRAAGACCGAATCCGTTCGTAAAGGAGGTACTATTGAATCAAGTACCGTTCACAGGKCTCATCGACACTGGATGCTCCTCAGTATTGGTACGTCAATCCGCTGCGACGATATGTCGTCTTAACGTCGAACCGCAGGTGTGTCCGCTCTACACCGTTGGWAGTGTCGATCGACCGAGCGCTAACGCCGTGGGGAAGGCGATCGCAAATGTGACGATCGATGGTGTTGTTGCAGACTGTCATGATGTAAAGATAGTGAACGACGATCTTATTCCTGTTGATGTGTTAGTGGGACGCACCTGGCTGGAGCTCCCGCACGTCAATTATTATAAACAGGAAAATGAAATTGTTTTTGAAACGAACTGTCATCTCGAAGGCAGAGTACTGACTGACGATGTGAGTAACGAGGGTCCTCAAGTATTAACGGTTGAGTGCAATGCGAGATTGACCC